ATTCTTTTAAAACTCATTTTCAACCACACATTTTTCAATAAAATAATATTTTACATCACATCAATAATTTTTTCTTACTTTTTAACCACATATTTCTCATCATATCACTATTTAAAATACATTATTTCCTTAATAATATCCATCAAACACACCCTTACATACAATTTGGGGTAGCAAAAATCTTTGCCCCCGAATCGAATAGCCCGCCTCTCAACTTCGTGCTCTATATATATATAGTATTTTTTTGAGAATGTATGGTTAAAAAATAAGGAAAAATTTTGGGTTTACGTATTAAATATTTTATTGTATGAATGTATGCTTGAAAATGAATTTGATAAATAAATTAAAGTAAAAGGAATCAAATAGAGGCTTAATCCTGCCACTACAATTCTACCATGCAATCTGTACATCAGAGTGGCAAGGCAAACAAATTTTCCTCTAAACCAATAATTCAAACACTGGGGCTAGCCATGAGAATCTTGAGGCCCTAAACGATTAATTATTATGAGGTCTTATAATTAGTTTTTTTTTTTTTTATATACTTATAGCAATATTTTAATAAAAAATATATGTATAAGCAAAGAACATTAGAACCTAATTGATGATTTCAAAATAAAAATATCCCAAATTCCCAAATATCGCCAAGCGAATGAATTCAACAATCAACCTGCAAGAAATGACCAAATTAGTTACACTTGAAACAAAATCAGAAGAAACCAAGCGTATTAGTAAATCTTCTAGAGTAATGCATTTGCAAATCACAAGTAACCAATTTTTAGGTGGCATTCCAATGTTGAAAAAACAAATTTTCCACAATTTTTAGTCAAAAAGTGCAAAGTTTCCCACAGTAAGAAGCAAGGAATAGAAGCATGGAAATCAATTTAGTGTCTAATTGTGATTTGCACTCAACAACCACATGACTTATGAATGAATCAATTCTAACCAACATTTCTTACACTTAAAACTCCAACACCGAAAAATTAAAATTTAAACTTAGCTCAATATGAAAGGAAACCACCGCACTGACTCTACCTTCAAAAAAAGAACAAACCCGAAAATAGACAGAATTGAACATCTACATTTTTAGGGACTTCATAATATACATATTAAAAGAAGGAAAAAAAAACTAATGAAACCATGATCCAAGTGAATTTACAACCTAATTAAATCAAGGAATTCTCGGAATTGACCATTAAAAAAATCAATTATTGTTGGAAAATAAAACGGATCGACGTAATATATATGACAAAATATGAAATATTTGATCACAAAAAATAACAAGATAAAAGACAGAATTAATTGGCAGAGGAATTCAGTATATTCAATTGACTAATATGAAGAAAACAAATACAATAATTGTTCATACACAATGATTCTATATTTTAGTAATACAAAAACTTGTGAAAATAGTTTAGTATTTGTAAGGATGAATGTCAATCCCTAGAAATACCACAAAAATAGAAACAAGATAAAAAATCACCTGAAAAAAAAAAAAAAAAAAAAATTTCCCAATATTTTTCCAATAAAAACGCATTCAAAGAAAGAAAAAATATTTTCTCAAAAAAAAATCCAACCTAATTTGGATAAAAAAAAATTAACAATCTCCCACCTAACACAAATTCCGATACAACGAACGAATCTCCAAAATTTCTCCACTTGGAAAAATAATCCGACTGCAACAAAAAATTCGAACTTTTCAACAAGAACCAAAGTTTTTCCAACACAAAAATACACATCCCCTTCCACTGTATCCAACACAGATATATAAACTCAAACACTGGTTTCCCCAAAATTCACAAAGAATTAGAAATTATCAAACAGTGTCAAAGCACACCATATAGCAGAATCAACTCCCAATACTTTCATAGAAGGCCCCTAGTTAGTCTCACCACCTTAAAAAATGCTAAAAGCTTGTACAACCGAATTAGCATCCACATACCTATCTCCAATGAGTCTATCCATATCAGTTGAATACAATAGAATCGCAAGTAATGGTGGTAAAGCGGAATTACCCATATCCTCCAAACTCGGCTCAGTAGTATTCTTCAATATGGACCCTGAACCAAATCCCAAAGGTACAGTGCCAAACTGAATCTCTACTATGGTATTAAATCTGTGTTGATTTTTCTTCACAAATTCTGCTCGACCTTACAAGATGTATAACTTGAACATTTTCCGCCCCCAACAAAATGAGATTCTTCTTCAAGTTTGGAATATGTCGAACGTGATCGAGCGTTCTATATGTTTCATCAACTAGCTTCAATCTGATTATTTCAATATCAACTACCTAGCAAGGTTCATTGTTACCCATGACAACGACACTTTGCTCACTGTTTCATATGTTTCAAACAAATTCCGATTATGCTACATATGGAATGCACATGCTGTATCCAAAATTTTGCCCCGGGGCGGGTTCGAGGCGGGGACGGGTAACGGGGTCCCCACCCCGCCCCATCCCGTTTAAAAGAANAAAATTTATTTTTTTTATTTTAGTATTCAATACTTTAAATGAAATTTTTTATGAGTTCTAAAAGCAAGTAGCAACTAAAATTATTTGTCCAAATCTAATGAATATGGACAATAAAAATAAATTATCAAAAACTTTAAAAAAAAAATTAAATGGGAGAATAAACGGGGAATGGACATACGCCCGCCCCGACCCGTTGCCATCCCTAAAGAAATTCTTCGGGGATCAAGGATTTCACCAATAATCTAATTATGTGAAAATATTTATGGTATGAAGTTTTTACGTTTTACATGTAAATATACATATTTGTTCAAAGGGGATTGCACCTATGAAATTATATGGGCTTTATGGTTACTCCTACTCTTGTGTAAATTTTTCAAATTGAGAAAGAGTCGTGGATGGATGTAGGAATGACTAAAAAACCCGACAAACTCGATATCCGCGGGGCCTCGCCCAGAACGGGGTGGGGATAACCCGCTTAAACGGGGTAACGGGGCGAGGAATTTTGCCCCGGGGGCGGGTTCGGAGCCGGGACGGGTAAGGGGGCCCCGTCTCGTTAATTTTTTTTTTTTTTTTTATATATAGTTTTTTAGAATTCAATATTTTAAATGAAAATTTTCATTAGTACTAATAGAAAATAACAACTAAAATTATTTGTCAAAATCTAATGAATACGGGCAATAAAAATAAATTATCAAAAAAAAAATTTAACGGGGAAAGAACCTACCCCCACCCCGCCCCATCCCGTCCCATCCCATCCCGTCCCGTTCCATTGCCATCCCTAGATGGATGGAGATTACATGAATTGTGGATA